AGAGAGAGAGAGAGAGAGAGAGAGAGAGAGAGAGAGAGAGAGTCCTTAAGGCGGGAACAGCAGGAGTACATGTAGGATATAGGTTAGCACAGGGAAAGACCTTGGCCCAAAAAATGGAAGGAGTACCCATCATGGACGCGCACGACGGGGATGCGCCTACACCTGTGCTAAACTAACCAACCTTGACTGTGCAGCGTCTCAAAAAAAAATCAGCCCGAGAGGAGGATGGAATCACTCAGTGGAAAAATAAATGACTTCATAACGACTAAACGTAGATATCGTGACTCAATGGGTGGGTTTGCTCAGGATTTCTCGGAGCATTTCAGCTGCGCAGCCACACTCCGGTGAAACTCGCACCATTTTCACGGCGCCGAGCAGACAGTTCAACACCAGATCTCCTGAAAAACTACATGTATGTAAAGCGGGATCTGTGCAGTGCAGGGCTGACCAAAGACAGCGATGTGCGCATAAGATTGTTTAGAACCCCCCCCCTCTCCTACTGTCACACACACTCACACGCGGAGTTTGGAGATGATAAACACAGAGCAGGGAACATGTGAGCGACTCGCTGGGATGGAATTGGGATGGAATTGGTGAAACAAAAATGAAAAGCTGACATTTGGCCTGACTGTGATACCTCAAAAGAAGATGTGTCTTTACGCTTACACGACACGCGAGGACAGGTTATGAATGCTGCGTTTTTTTTAGTTTTTTTTTTTTACAGCTGCTGTCATCACACAATAATAGACACGCATACATTTCAAATGACTGAGTCAGGTTAAAAAGGGCGTCATCGTCACAATTACAATTACAGTCAAGAAAAACACAACTGTCTTGTTTAAAAAAAGGGGAGAAACATACTCACCCTGCCACGAGAGTCGTGCGCACACGTCAGTAGCCAAGAAACCTCACACCAGGGAGGCTTGGTGGATTTTGGTCTCTCTCTTTTATGTGTTTTCGCTTAAGCCCATTTACCCATCCTCCAAATCCCTTACTCTCTCTTTCACCCAATCTGTCCCAGGCACTGCGGTGGATTGGTTCAGCAAGCTACTTTGGCTACAAAAGAGACATAGCGGGAGCAGGAGGGAGAGAAGTGTTGGAGAGAGAGAGAGAGGGTGAGATAGTGAGTGAGATAGTGAGTGAGTGAGCGAGCGAGAGAGAGAGAGAGAGAGAGAGAGAGAGAGAGCGAGAGAGAGCGAGAGAGAGAGAGAGAGCGAGAGAGAGCGAGCGAGAGAGAGAGAGAGAGAGAGATAGGAGGTCGTGATAAACTACTATTTCTCATCCAATCATTTATATTCTTTTTTTGTGATTTGTTTCTGTTTTTCTTCATGATAGGCTGCTATACAGTAACGCAGTTGTATAATGTTAATATGTTCCAGTAAAACCAATAGAACAATACATTTTATTGTTTTTTCTGATTCTTTTTTATTTCTTAGTTTTGTAATTTTGTCTTATTCATCTGTTATAGACAACATTTCACTAACTTCTTACAAGGTACTAAAGTTTGACTGAGTATTTTGCCGTTTTCTTACATTTTTCTTATATATATTATATTTTATCATTATTATTTTACTTACATTGTAAACCTTATTGGCTCACGACATGCTTTGGCAGTACTGTGCTTAATTATGATCATGTCAATAAAGCAACATTCAATTTCAATTCTATGCAAACTTAATACAATTTACAGAATCTTGCAGATTTACAGCATTTTGTGTCAAATATAAGTGGAAAACACAGTAGATCACCTACCCTTTAGTAGATGTGGTTCATTCAAGACACTTTAATTTCACCTCACATGATGACTATACTAGTTACACTGCACAAGTAACCTCTCTCTCCCTCTCTTTCTTCATCCCCCATGTCTCCTGTGGTCCATGTCCCTTGGTCTATTTTTAGCTGGCTTGTGGAGGAATCCTATATTTTTAGTAACGATATCAATAGTCTACAGCACACTCTGACCTCAGGGCATGAGCGAGGGAGAGAGAGAGAGAGGGAGAGAGAGGGAGGTGGGGGTGAGTATGAGAGATTGAGGCGAGATAGAAAGAGAGCAGAGAGAGGAAGAGGAGGCAGCAGTGAAGAGGAGGGATGATATCATGTCAAAGTGACAGTGAATGATGGACTGCACACACAACTCCGGCCGCAAAGCGCTGGAGGTTCAGTTGCATGAAGAGAGATACTGTCAAGGTTGGAGTAAAGGCTGCGGTGAGGAGTTTAAGATCAGGCAGTCGACATCAGGTGTACATCAAATGCACCGAGGAGGATTTATCTTTTCACTAAAGTAGCATTCCATGTTTGTTTTTGTTTTAAATACCTTATTTAAGAGTGAAAGTCCTTCACCACTGTATTGTAGGTTAGAAACACATTACAGACTATAAAATAGTCCCATAAAAAATGTTGTCTTCACAGGAATGAATATAAATCAAAACATAAAAGTCTCATTTCTTCACAAGATTAGTGACATGTTTTAGAACTACAGCAATATAAAGAACGTCAAGCTGCGTTCTATCTAAATAAGTAGGATGCAATGTTTTGAAAATTGTAAAATCAAAATGTGAGAGAATTCAAACGTACACTGCCTGAACACCATTATTAGATGATAAATAACTGTAAAACATATAATATTGATGCAGGGACCAGGACAAGATAAGACACGATATCGTATCAAAGGACAACCGCGGGGCTCAGGGGGTGTATCAAAGAGATAACAGCAACAATAATGAATTCTGACAATATGATTAAAAGAAAATGACATAAAACAATGCATTAAAGCATTTACAGTGCAGCACTGACAGATAAGACAAACAGAGAAGAAGGATGAAGTGCAGATAGAGAGGGAGATGGGAAGTTGATGAGATTTTAATGTGAAGGTCAACTTGTTAATACTCAGATCTCTATGGGGATATTAGTCCCATCATGATGCTGGAGGGGTTGGAGGGGGGAGGAGATGGGAGCGTGAGGCTGCTTCAGAAGAGGAGGGAGAGAAAGTGAGATGCCTGAGAGGTGGTTTTGCTGGTTCGACAACTACAGTATCACAGTAAATAGAGGGGTCAGCATCTTCTCTGTGCGAGTGCGTAAGAGTGTATGCGTGTGCGTGCACATGCTTGAGATTGCACTTTTGAGTGTGAGTATGTGTGAAAGTGAGGAAGCGAGCGTGACAGAGAGGCGTGAGGAGGACACAAAGCGAGAGGCTGTGCATGTTTGTTTCTCAGCAGCCTCACACAAGATCACAGAATGAAACACTTCACTTGTTCTCGTTTCATGATTTTTTTCAGTACGTTTATTTTGATGTTCTTTTTCCAGCAGAAAAAAACAGAAGTTAACTCAACTAACAGACAAATAAATGATCTATTGTGCTATTATTGGTTGTTTTGTCTATTGTATTGAAGTATTGTGTGTTGTGACATTTGACCTCAACTCAAACTGAGCTAAGGCATCAGATAAACTGCTCTGACCTTTTACACTTGGTCACTTTTAAATGGACACACATGTGCACTTAAAGCAAAACTGCAAGATTTTGCTCCTTTGGATGAGAGATAGTTTTAATTATCATTATGCTGACATAGAATGTAACAAAAAAATCATATAAAGATGATTTAAAGAAAACAGATTTCTGTGTGAAATAACCAGCTGGTTTGTGAGATAAGAGCACTGGAATGGGATTATTAAACTGTATGTTTGCAGCCACCTGCCCTGCTCAGATAGTGTTTAATGACAGCCCTGCTATCATTTTTCCATGTATTGAACAGTCCAAGTGAGGCTCACTTTTAATTACACCTAATCAATGCTGCGGGTACGTCATAACACAGCAAAAAGCTTTACGGTTTACACCACAAAAACAATAAAGTACTTGTAACTGTATAAGCGTCCTGAAAACATTATTAAAAGTCATATTTTCTAAGACTGCATATACATAATTCAGTGTAGTTGTAGGATGACATTAAGGAGCACAGATACTCTATATTGCAAAGCAGATAGGACCAAAGCTTGGTGAAGAATAATAGAGAAAACAATTATGTGAATATAAAATGATGCAGGCCGAATTGTGGCAGTGATAATAGAGTTAGGCAGAGTGGGCATGAAATGGGGGGGGGGGGGGGGGGGGGGGGGG